CAAAAGATAATGTCAGTAGAATGAGAAAATAAGCTATGGACTAGAAAAAAATATTTGCAAAAGACATCTGATAAAGGACTGTTATGCCTCCCCCCACCCCCCAAAAAAAGGAAGAAAGAAAGATGAAGCTCTTAAAACTCAACAATAAGAAAACAAACAACCCAACCAAAAAATAAATAAATAAATAAATAAATAAATAGGCCAGAAACCTTAACAGACACCTCACCAAAGATAATATGCAGATGGCAAGTAAATGTATGGAAAGATGCCCCACATCATATATCACCAGGGAAATGCAAATTAAAACAACAATGGGATACCAGCATACCTATTAAAGTGAACAAAACCCAGGACAGTGACAGCACTGAATACCTAGAAGGATATGGGGAGATAAGAATTCTCACTCACTGAGCAGAGAGGATATTTAGGGCAATAAAATACTCTGTATGATATTATAATGATGGATACATGCCATCATACATTTGTCCAAGCCCACAGAATACAGAACACTAAGAGTGAACCCTAATGTAAACTATGGTCTTTGGGTACTAATGATGTGTCAATGTAGGTTCATCAATTGTAACAAATGTACCACTGTAGTTGGGGAAGTTGATAATAGGGGAGGCTATACATGTGTGTAGGCAAGGAGTATATTGGAAACTCTGTACTTTCTCCTCAATTTTTCTGTGAACCTAAAACTGCTTTTTAAAAAAGTCTTTAAAATGCTAGGTATGAGGGATAAATATTGCTATATTTATTTTACACATAGAAAAATTAGAGGTCAGAAATTTACATAAAATTAAGTTATTTGCAATAACTTTGCAGATAATAAATGGAGTGGGATAGACGAGCTTTTCAGAAAAAGGGAATACTGGGGAGAGAAAAGACATAGTTGCATGAAATTACAGGACTTACTTAGAGAATGATGAGTTATTGTGTTTCAAATCATGAAATGAACTGGCAATTTAAACCTTGGAAAATAGGTAACAAAATAGTTCCGAAGAGCTCCTCATGTACCTCACCAAAAAGTTTAGGTTTTTAGCCTGATCAATGAAAGCTACAATGAGGCGGTCAACCAAGATAAGATGCCCAGTGCAGAAATGATCTTGAACTTGGTGAATGTGAATTGAATTCAACAAGAAATACAGTAAATTGCTGGAATCACTAACCTAAGTGCCTTTTAATTTTTTTTCCTTTCCTTTATCACTTTCCCAAATAATTAATAACCAAATCAAATAAATGGCTTATTTTTAATTCCACCTGAGTCAATGTTCTCTCCTAGTACACAGAAAACCACTCTCTCGAAACAGACTCTTATCATTGTCGATCTTGTGTATTGCAATTCCCTCTTACATCCCTCTTTGTTTTATCATTTTTTCCCTATCTTCTTAACCACCACAGAGAAATCTCTCTAAAATACAAATATGAGCCTTTCATTCCAAAGCTTGAATGTTTCCATTGGCTCCCCCTGACTTTCAAGATTAGGTAGAAATGTTGTAACATGCTTTGCAAAGCTCTTAATGATTAGGCTTTACTTTATCTCCCACTTTATGACTCGCCACTTCCCCACATGCACATTGTCCAAACCAAAAAGTCCATATTTCTCCCAACATGCTCCTGATATTTGGTTTTGGATTAACAATCTCCTGTCTAAATGCTTTCCCTTCTCTTCTCCATTGAAGCCCTTCAGCCAGTGAGAACCAAAAGCTTGAAGTAATTTTGACACTACTCTCTTCCTCAAATACCATTTAAAAAATGGTGCTATTAAATCACATCTTTTCTAATAAATTTATAAATCCCTTGAGATAATTGGTTCATTTTCACTCTAACACATATTTATTTCAATTCCATATCATCTCATAGTTTACCAGTTATAATATTGGTAGTCCTCTATAGAAAGGCCTGTAGTTGCTCCCTCTAGGCTCTGAGACCCTCGACTGACATACAAAGCCCTTCTGCTCCAAGCCTGCCTGTTCATATTCCACCCTCTCCCTCCTGAATGTGGCAATTCAGCCACTCCAAACTGCTATATTTTAGTGTCTGCAATTCTTGTTCCTCATGCTTGAAGTGCTGTCTCTCTGCTTTCTCCTGTTCACTCCTCACAAATTTAACATCTTCCTACATATGCCTTCATGAGATATAAAATCAGCAATGAATCAAAATGTGAATTATTAATGGTGTTAGACATATATGTAAATTTATATATATATGCATAAATTATATTGAAAATTATGTATGAACTTTTATAGTTTGCAGAATATTTCTCACACAAAAGAATAAATTTGTATTAAAAATAAACCTGCATTGAAATTCAGCAACTTTTCATTGCCAAAGCAATGGCCAAAAATCCTTAGAAAAATATAAAAATATTGAGCAGATAATAACTTCAGGTTATTTAATTCTAATATTGTAACTTTTTTCAACAAGTGTGTGTGTGCATGCGTGTGTGTATATTAAGAATCATAATTCTGTCTGGTATCCTCTAGACTACTACAAATACTGTTAAAGTTTAATGTTTCACAATACCAAATAAATGGATAATGTAGTCTATTGATTTCAAAAGCACTATGGTTCTTCCTAAGTGCCTGATGAAGCAGTAAGTCCACTGAACATTCTCAAATATTGCAGTCAAGACTACATATTAATGGATTATTCACAGGAAAATTATTCATAGAGCTTCAGTGATATGTGAAAGTTATCTGGATCTCACCAGTTACTCCATAAATACTTGTTAAATCAGTAAAGTAGATTATTCTCATTTTCCTATAGAGGAAATTGTGTCACAACTAAGTGGACTAATTTGCCAATACGCTCATTTATTCATTAGCCGAGGAAGAAATATGACTCAGACTATAATCCTTATGATCAGCCTATTTTGGAAGAAGTCATATGTAGGCAAAGGAACTGTTCAAGTATTTTACTTATATTCATGAAAGGGTTTCCATTAAATTAACCTGGAAAGTTGAAACAGAATGTAAAAAGTGATATATGTTAACATATAAGCCTGGATTTATAAAAGATTAGTCCCTCAGAATTATTCTTTCTAGGGACTATGTAACGTATATGATTACATAGATTGCAGATTTGATTTAAATGTATTTACTTTAATCAGCTAAAAATATCAGAAGCTGCCATGATTCATTTAAAGCAGAGAGGACAAATACATTCAGGAATGCTTTAATTTATAGTACATGAAGCAATGGTTATAATCATCAGAGAGCAGAAAGAAATGTATATTACTAAACTCAAGTTAGTTCTCATTTTCCATGGATGGTGAGCTCTCTGGATATTTTAAATGTCTTCCTCACTGCTGAATATCAAAATTAAAGCTAAGAAAGACACATGAAGTTATAATATTCTTTTCAGGCAATGCATATTTTTTTCTTGTCACAAATTCAAAAGAATGTTACTTCAAAGATACAGACAATAGTTGTACTTTCTAAAGTCTTTTCATGTATTCTTAAGAGAAAACAAAAAAAGTATATTTGAACGCTTCCCTGTTATCAGTTGAAAGGGCTCAGTGAAGGGTATAAGACCAATTTCTCTAAAAATATCAGTAACTTAGAGGCAGAGTGCCTTAGAAGCGAAAGCTTTAGCATTTGTCCACTTGTGAGATATGGACTAGTGTCACGGGAAGGCAGGGTGATACAGGTGCTGGAGTTGAGCCAGACCTGTGCTCTTTGGAGTGTCCTTTCTTTGGGGAAGCAAAATCCTGCCTACTATCCACATATACCTAGTTACAAAATGCAGAAGACAGAAAAGGTATTAAGAGAAAAAGATATAAATTTATATAACTTACAAAGGGTTTGAATGTTGAACTACAGAACTTTTCTATTTCTTCATAATTGGCTGATATTTAAATATAGCTTGTGCATTTCCAAAGTGTATGTTACACAACAGAGTAATTCTGAAGCCCAAGCAATTTGGCTAACTTCCATTCATTTTGAAAATTTTATTAATTCTTGTCCATTAAGCTCGTATCTAAATATGCAAGAACTTGATACAGAATAAAAAAATCATTAAAGCTGTAGGGAGCCAGTTTGAATTCTACAGCACTTTGGTAAACAATTTAGTATGGCATCATTTAATTTTCTCTAACAACAACAACCAAAAAATCAACAAAAGACCACAAGGATATTTATATTGGTCATTGGATTTTAAAGAAAAGTTCGGTTGTTCTTGAAATGAACAACATTAACAGAAATTCAGAGAAAATTTGAATCTGAGGAGGGGCTGTGAACCTCTTGTCCAAACCATCTTTGAGAAGAGGAATGAACTGAGGTTGAACATGGTTTACAGCTAACAAAATGCTGTTGTTCATGACGTCAGGTGATTTTTCATACGATGTTTAATGTTTGTGTGTCTTTTTTGGTGATCTTTCCGTTGTAAATCACAAAATGCATTGAAAAATGTAAAGGGGTGCCTGGGAGGCTCAGTCAGTTAAGCGACTGCCTTCGGCTCAGGTCATGATCCAGGTGTCCTGGGGTTGAACCGCCCACAGGGCTCCCTGCTTGGCGGGGAGACTGCTTCTCCCTCTCCTCCCCGCTCCTGCTCTCTCTCGCTATCTCTGTTGCTCTTTGTCTCTCTCTCTCTCTCTCAGACAAATAAATAAAATCTTTAAAAAAGAGAGAGAGAGAAATGTAAAGAGGAAATGATGTCAGCCAAAGTAATAAATAAACTTCTACATATATTTTTATGGTAAACTGGGAAAATAAGCCTTCTAAAATGTCTTAGATATTCTTCCATTTACCTAATATATATTTTACAACTCAAATTTTCTCCAAATTTATCTGAATCTCAGGATACTTTCTAGTAATTCAAAATTATATGTTATCTGGGTTCATTCTTAGTGTTCCATTTAAAAACAGAGAAATAAGCACATATGAATTTGAAGCTGTATTTGTATTGTGTAAAAGAAAAGCTTTCAACAGATACTATTTCAACTTGCAAATAGATAAATGAGATGATGTTTGATCTGATTTGTTCTGACATGTCTGCAGGCAGAATGCTTTTCAAGTCATTGCTGTGGACGGGGTCTGCAGTGGGATTATTCAGTGCCTCTCTGCTGAAGACTGTATTGACTGGCTACAAGCAATAGCAACTAACATTTCAAACCTCACAAAGCACAATGTAAGTAGTGATTCAAGGAATACCTGGCCATAGAGTTTCTCAGCCGTGGTAAATTTCTGCAGTATATATGTAACTTTACAATAACTGCTTGGTGTTTACCTAAGAGTGAATTTATATCCATCATGAAAGCTATTCTGGAATACTTAAAGAAAATCACTTTATCTTGAGAGTTTTAGCCCAGTGTATCAGTTCAAGAATACTTACACATTTAAGTTTTCATTCACAAACATGATAAACCATCAATGTAAGTTAAATAAGTGAAAATAAATATGTACATATTTATTGTAGATATATGTACATATAGATATATGTACATATAAATGTAGATACATGTACACATATATGTAGATATATATACATGTAAGTATGAATGCAGATATACGTACATATACTTATATGTACTTTTATACTTATATGTACGTATATCTGTAGATATGTAGATATATGTACATATAAGTATAAAAGTATCCTGAGCTAAAGCAGTACTGAATTTTGAGATAGCGTTATTGAGTTTCCATTAGTGATTTTAGAATTGCAGCTGCAACCATTTGATAGGGTAAGAGGGGTGGGTGAAAGAGTCAGCATGGAGACTGAAGGTCCCACCTGGGACGATATTGGCACAGGAACAGTCAGAAGACACACTGTGGGAGCCAGCAACCCACCTCTTAGAGCCATGTCTATAATACCAGGAATGGCTTCTCTACTTTTTCCTTACTTTTCTACTTCAACCTTTCTTTCTCCATTCTGATCTCTTCATTATCTCTATCTTCTCATTACCACTATTCTTTCATAACCTAACGAATCCTTTCTCCCCTTACTTCTAGCAGAAGTATAGTCTAACAAAATATGCAAGACTAAAAACATCACTTCCTTGAGTACTGATGTAGTTCATTAAAGGTTATTTGATCAGGGCCACATCACTATAATCTCTGCCTCCACAGTCACATCACGTCTTCCTCTGTGTGCCTGTTCTCCTTTATGTTTCTCTTATAAAGACACTCATCATTGGATTTAGGGCCGACTCAGATAATCCAGGATAATCTCGCCCCAAGATCCTTAACTTAATTACATCTACAAAGATCCTTTTTCCAAATAAGGAAATCTTTGTAAGTTCCAGGAATTTGATGTGGCTATCTTTTTTTTAGTGGTGGGAGGGCAGTCATTGTTTGGTGTAGTGCAAAAACTAATATGGCAGACAAACAACAACTTAGATTCAGACATTATGTTCTGATTTATTTTCCAAGGTGGTGTATCTAATATCAGCTGAGTTTTCAAAGTCTTTATTCTGCACTTAATGAGAATGAACCTAGAATTTCTTTCAGTTCATCCATGGAGTTAGGGTATCCCCTTCTCCCTCTTGCTTGTCTCTAGAATTTCCCCCACACTGTCTGGCTGCCAGGGAAGAGAGCTGTCCTTGATCTGTCCAGAAAGTCAGAGCTTCTCTCAAACTATAGCCTCCTACACTGTTGTACATTGCTTCACGACTAAGCCCTCCTTCACGGCAAAACAGCATGAAAAAAAAAAAAAAGAGAGAGAGAGAGAAAAGTAATAAGGATCCCTCCCATAATGGGGACCCCTCTTCCTAGTTCTTTATTCTAAAGCGTGGGTTCTCTCTTAGGATTTCCAGGTGCTCACAGTGCCACTGAACTTGTAACAGCAGCTGTTTGACAACCTGGCCTTGGAGTAGGGTCACGAGCCAAAAGAGAAAATGTCATGAGTGTCCTTTCCAGAACCCACGACTCACAGGGGCCCTTTCTCAGGCCTCTAGTCAGAAAGATGAGCTTTTCTCACAGTTCTGCTGTTCATGATCTAATTTGTCTTCATCTCATGTCAACCCTGGGAAATAAAGGAAGCAAAAACAAAACAAAACAAAAACAGGGAACCCACTGTAATCATATTAGTTGTTATTAAATTTTTACTTCTCTCCCCAGTGTCCTTGTTGTTATTTTCTTTAAAGATTTTTCATGTAGTTGCTTTTTATATTTTGCCCAGTGTAGTTAGTTATGGTCAGTGGGAAAAACGGGCTACAGTGGGCTTATTTCTTTTTGTCTAAAGCCGGAAGCTTTAGTTTAGTTACTTTTAATAGAAATAAATGTAAGCAAAAAGACAGTGTACTAAAAGAAAATAATTGCTATCTTATCTTGACATATTTTGGAAATACCCTTTAAGAACCCAGGTAAAATTAAGTCATTTTCAGTCAAATAGAAAGGTATAGAAAATTCTATAAAATAGAAATATTGCTCCTCCAGAGCCTCTAGAAAAGAATACATCACTGCCAGCATGTTAATTTTATGCCAGTGTGACACATTAGGACCTCTGACCTATAGAACTGTAGGACAATAGATTAGTATTTTGTTTTCAAGCCACTAAGTTTGTGGTAATTTGTGATTGCAACAATAAAAAACTAATTCAGCATCTAGTTAAATCCACTGCATTTTTTTCATCTAATCTAAATCTCATGGTTTAATCTGAAAAGCGTACCTCTAGTCTTATCACATTTAGCCTTCCAGAATAGACACAAAATGCACTTGCATATACCAGAAAAACAGCATAATATGCATGTTATTAATTAATCCAAGTGCAAAGCAGAATACGATATCATTTGAGGCCCTACATCCTTTAAAAACAGCTCACTTGTAATATTACGACAAAAATAATCATAATTGTTGAGTTGAAACACACTAATGAAGATGTCTTTGGAGTTGGAAGGAGGGTTTGTTTTTTTCAGTGCCTTGGCAGGCATGGCTAAAAGCCTTCAAATACTACAGAAAATGAGGCGGGATAAATCATCTGAAGGCTGTGAGAACTGCTGGTGCTGAAAGAGCAAGTGTGACTGGTCCAGTCTCTTGGACAGAGGTCAGAACTAATGTCAGAAGGAGTCACTGTGAAGGTATGATGTGGGGAGTTCTGTCTTATTTGGGGAACAACAGCAGCAGTGGCCCTGACCAAGGAGCTGGTGTGTCCAACCTGACTTGATCCTGATCAAACAGGGCAGCACCTCTGTCCTATGTCCTTGCATTTCTGGTCCTTGCCATAGTCCATGCTCAACAAATTTGAAATGAACGAATGAGTCAGTCAGTCAATCAGTAGTTGTTTGAAGGACAGATAACCACAAAAGTGGGGAAAAAAAGAGGGAAAGGGGAAATTAATTGAGCTACAGTAAGCACTGCGGTGAGAATTTCTCATTAAACTCTTCTAACTCATTCAATACTACTCATTAGATTCTTACAATCTTGGAAGCAGCATCTGGTTTAGAATAGCTGTGGAGAAGAGGTCCTGTCAGCGCTGTCCACCTCCAGCACAGATGATTCCTATAGACTGCCTATTATCTGCACATATTTCCCTGTCCCTCATAAATCTTTACCCCTCCTAATAGGTGTCTGATAAACAAGTGTGTTTTTTTTTCTTTTTTGAAATAAATCTTCTGAATGACTTTCTAAGAGGCAAGAATAGAAATATGTAGTGGACTAAAGGGTCAGGAATAAATAGACTGTAATTCATATATCTGATTACAAATCAGGGCAAATACGTTTGAACACCTCTGTTTTACACATCAGCTTGATTCTCTTATGAACATTTTTACATGTTAGAAAAGGAAAAATGGTCATTAGAATGGACTATGGAGGTCGTCTAGCCCCATCTCCCACCCAGTTAAGAAATATCTTCTGCAAAATTCCCTTCAGACAACTCTATACTGGAAATCTTTCAATGACAAGAAAGCCACTGTTTCACAATGCAGCAACTGAACCTTTGACAACTCAGTATCAGGAAATGTTTCCTTATACTGAACAAAGCTCTCCTGTAGCTTTCATCCGTTTGCACTAGTTCTGCCTTGGGAAAGACACACACTAATTTAAATTTCTCTTTTACTTGGCAACTCTTCTAATATAAAAGGGTAAGTATTGTATGCCACAGGCTGGTTTTGTTTTGTTTGTTTTTTTTTCAATAGAAATATCACTGATGCTTTTTTCCCTGGGTTTTCCCATCCTGGTCCCTGTCCCTGGATGCTTTTACGAATAAGTAGAGTATTAATTATGTATTTAAGTTTTTGTTACTGACACTACCATGAACTCAAGTATCTTAAAGCTTCATTATTATCTTGACATGTATTTACTGAATTTGCAATATCCATTTACATATAATTATATATGAAAACATTAAATGACATTACATTTTATTATGATGATTAATCAAGGTTTGTGTTTTCTCATTAAATAATCTTATATACTACATTAGTGAAAAATATTATATATATATACTACATTTGTGAAAAATATTATACACTGCATTAGTGAAAAAAGTTCAAAGTTTAAGTATGTGCTTTATGTTTAAGTACACTTATGAGTCAGAAAACCTGGTTCTTGTTTTGGTTGCACCAATTACAAAATATTACAAGTTATGCAAGCAACCTATACTAAACCATTTAAGAAAAAGCTCTGTTCCTTAGTTTCTTAACATTTCAAAGAATGAACTGTATTGTTCTTCTCTTCCTTACTAGGTTACAATGAGATTCAAATAAGATATTTCTGCAGCTGCTAACTACCATAGCCTATAATGTATAATTTTAAAGAGCAGTATTATATTTACATTAATATAAGGCTAATATTTTACCCCACATTTTTAGAAGAATATTATACAATGGAAATTCAATAAAATGTTGTAGATATTAGTAAATTAATAAAAATACAAGAGTATTAAAATATGTTTTATTTTTTAATGTTGTTTCTTGATATGCATAGTGACTTCCTTTCAGAGTACAGAATGGAAAAGGGAAAGATGTATAACTTTATAAAGGAGACACATAAAAATTATAACCACAGCAAGTAATCAAAGTAGACTTTAACAGTTACAGTCACATTGATAGTATGTACCCTTGATATGATGTAGTAAAAATGGCACTTTACCTCTGTGGTCTTTCTCCCACAAATCGATAACCTCTGCTGTGTCATGAGAAAGGCATCAAAAAATGCCAGTTGATGAAGAATCTACAAAATACTTGA